TATAATAAAAGTGAAGATGAAGTTTTGAGATTATTAATATCAAAATTATCTCATATAGATCATCTATCCTGCCAATACATTAAGAAAGATAGTTCAATTTGTAGGAAAGGATGCTGGCACGAATTAGGTTGTGCCATACACTATAAAACACGTTCTAAAAAATTATATCTTATCTGTAATAAGTTAACCAATTCTTATACCGGGATCTGTAGCTCACATGGTGAAATTTATAAGAAAGCCTGGCGTGAAGGTAAAAAAGTTAAAATAGAATCAGATATGATAGAGACACCTAGCTGAATAATAATCTGGCCAAAGTATTATTTCCTTATCTTATAGAATCAAAGAGTTCCTGAATATTATTATCTGTTTTTGGCTTATATGGTGGAAGCTCTGGTGCATCTTTATCTCCAAAACCAGTACCATTATATGGCTGGCGATTAATTTTGTATGAATATTTTCAAACCCACTTTTCCCTAGAACCTATTCTTTTTTTATCACTTTTAATGGTATATCCACACCAATTACTAGCAATTGCATTAATTGCTTTTATAGCTGATTTAAGATCAGGTATTTCCTTTGCATGAAACTTAAAGCCAAAGAGTAATAAAGATTGGTTTCAGATCTCTATAAACCTTTCACAAGAATGTGTGAATGCTTCTGATACAATATTACTAGTAAGAGTGCGTATATCATCAATGCTAGTAAAGCCTAGCATTTGAAAAAGTTTCTGTATTGCCTCCCACTGTTTGGATAAATATGCCTTTCGTAAATCAATTAAAGAAGGATCTGAGGAATTATGCGATTCCTCCTACTATATAGCTTCTTTAGTTTTTAACCCTTCCAAGGCTTTTATTGCATCTGAACCTTGCCTTCGGAAATATGCCAGTCTTTTAAAATGTTGTAAAGGTTCAGGATTATTAAATTTTTTTACAAAACTGGTATTGCATAGATTAATCCATTTGGCATCATCCATGTCCCAGTCTCAATTATCATCCTTACCTCCAATATCTCCTGAAGTATATATTTTCTACAAATAGTGTCGTTGCAATATCATATTATCGGCAAAAGAGCATGTAGAAATTTGTTTAAGAACTTCAGCATTATCTGGGGTGATATCGGGTGCATTGGCTATTAATTCTGCATCAGAACCTTTAATATTTTCTTCAACTGCTTTAATAGTATTAGAAACCATTTTCCTATCAGCTATGGTACCTTCTGCAGAAATAATCTCAAGTGAAGCTCCCATACTAGAAACAAGACTGCAAAGAATTTTGGAAAAGTATTTAGCTAATAAGCGTCTCTGATATTCAGCCTCAATATACGTTTCAACTGCTAGAGATGTATCAAGAGCATAACAATCAGCAATTTTATCCCATTTCCGATGTCCTTTTACTGCTGTTGGTAAATCAATAGGCCTTAAAGCAGAAAGTTCAGCACGAATAAGATTATGATTTGGCTCTTGAAATACTTCGGAGGACTTTTTACTATGATATAAAGAAATGATACGTTGTGGACAATCCCGAATTCGGTAAAGCATCTGTGCAAAGGCTTCAACATGTACTTCTGTTTTAATATTGCTAATCCCTATAATGGCGTCAAAATGTTTAGGAATTTCAAAGGAGATGCCAGCTTCTACAGTACTTGTGTAAATTATATAGTCAAGGGAACTCCAGGTAGCATTAATATTAGCAAAATCCTCTTATCATTGCATTCCGTCTATTTGGCCAAAATAAACACACATTAAAATAGGTGAACCATCTGGTTTTTGCAATGCAGAAGCTTGGTTTGCCAAAGCTTGAGCTTTTTTATATGATGTCATTGCAAAAGCAACATGCTTACCTTCTCGAAGCATATTAAGACCCCTTCTCATAGCTTCTGAACCCTTTTCTGGATCATAAAGAATCTTAACAGTTTCGCCTATACATGGTTGATATTTATTATCAAAAATTCATATATCATTACCTCAATATTGTTTTAAGAAAGCTAAAGTAGAGTCATTCGCAAAAGTATCCATAGCTACAACATGGATAGCTGACTTTAACAGATCTCATATAGCATTTTCAGATTCTCGCGCATGGACTCCACTAGACATTTGGCGCATGATTGCATTGACTTCATCTAAAATAACTATATATAGTTGCCTTCCATGAAGCTTAATATGAAGTGTACTTTCAACCTGGATAATAATAATATCCCAATCACTTATAGATAAACTACCTTCAACTTCTTGATATTGGCATATATGAAGACCCAAATTCTGTAATATTTTAACTTTAGATTTAGTCTCATTGCTAAGGGTTTTGCAATATGAAACCCAGATAAAGCAAGGAAAATCTTTATTTTTAGCTAAAGAGTTGAGAATTCCTCTTAATGCTTTTGTTTTGCCAGTACCTACAGGTGAACAAATAAGAGTCATGCTATACTCGGAACCTAAGAAGTCATAAAAGGGGTCAAATATGAATTTATTGCTGTCTTTTGAATAATCA